GTGATGAGCGCCTGCAGTCCCAGCTTCGGGAGGCTGAGGCAGGAGAATCGCTTGAGCCCAGGAGGCAGAGGTTGCAGTGAGCCGAGATCGTGCCACTGCACTCCAGCCTGGGCGACAGACCAACACTGTCTCCAAAGAAAGAAACTGGAGAGGTCACAAAAACCAATGCCATTCGAAGGAATTTGAAGTTAATTTTAAAATAAGAGAAGGCAGCAGAACATTACGAAAGGGGAACCTGTTGTTTTTCTGGAAGGTATTCTCTCTGTGGCCGGCTGCCAGGGACAAATGGAAGGAGAAGACGCAGAGACAAGACGGGTGAAGAAGAAGCGTTAGCAAGAAAAGAGAATGAAACCTAAGACTGGGCAAGGAAGTGGAATAGGAAGAATCCTGGAGATGGCCTGAGTGGGGGGGTTTTGTAGCCGTCGCTCGGCAAAATCCGAGGCCGACCGTTTCCCAGAACTGGGCTGGCATCTCAGCGCCTGGAACTCAGCGTTCTTTCCTCAAGCCCCGTCCCCGCTCCTCTCCACTCCCAGCCCCAGGCTCTCAGCCTCAAGGAGAATGAGTTCTCAGGCCCCGCCCCCAGGCCCTGGGCCCCGCCCTCACGCCAGGTGCTATCCGGCCGCCGGCACAGGTACGTTTCTCCAATCTCCACCGTGACTTCTGGCTCGCCGCGTGCCGGGGTCGGCGGAGAGACGCGGCCCGGGGATGGGGCGGCCCCTTCTGCGGCCGCATTCTCCCCGGGCCCGGGCTCGACCTCCCCCGCGACCCCTGAAGTTGCGGCTGCAACCGCCGCAGCAGCTCCCTGTGCCGCCATTGTGGGAGGGGAAGTGACGCCAGAGTCGGGCGCCACGCGGCCCTTTTAGCTCCGGGTCATTGGTGAGTGGGGTGGGCTCCTCAGGCTTGAGGGCAGGATTTGTGACGTACGGGAGCCTATTGGCTGGTGTTGCCGTCCCGGCGGCCCCGGGAAAAGCGGGTTGTTGACTGTGCAGCGGTCCTGGAGCTCCTGGCTTTCCGCGCGGTGCTGTGGCTACAGCCTGTGGTTGAAGAAGAGAGACAGACTTTCCTTAGGCGGTGACTCAGCTTAACGCTCAACATTTTTTTCTTTTTTTTTTTTTTTTGGGAGGCTCGCTCCGTTGCCAGACTGCAGTGCAGTGGTGCGATCTTGGCTCACTGCAACCTCCGCTTCCCGGGTTCAAGCGATTCTCCTGCCTCAGCCTCCCAAGTAGCTGAGACTGCAGGCGCGCATCACCACGCCCAGCTAATTTTTGTATTTTTAGCAGAAACGGGATTTCACCATGTTGGCCAGGATGGTCTCGACCTATTGACCCGCCGAGCTCGGCCTCCCAAAGTGCTGGGATTGCAGGCGTGAGCCACCTCGCCCGGCTCTTTTTTTTTTTTTTTTTTTTTTTTTTTTTTTTTTTTTTTTTTGTGT